GTTTCCATATTTCCATTCTCTTCGTCTGCCTTTTATAGCCTTGTATTATTCCAATGAATATTCAGTTTTGCTTGTTTGAACAAAAGAGAGAGAAAGGTTTGACGGTTAAACGTTTCTCTTAAGTGGGGCTTACTTGTTAGTTTCCAATAATAGCTTCATTCAAGAGAACGCTCCGGTTCAGTAAATGTAACCTGCCCACCGCTACCCTAAATAAGCCCATTCTGAAAGCCCTTTGTCTGGGGTGAACCCTCTCGCCACATTCTTTGTCCCAGTTCTGGGGGCTCCTGGGGCCCCCTTGGAAGGGTAGGGTGCACTTCAGACAGTGGGTAGGTGACATTCTGTGGTTGTCATGCAAGCTTCAGCCCTGGGTTCTTCTCCATTGCTACTGGCAGCTGGAGTGAATGTAAACACCTGGCTGGGGGGTTTTTCCCTCAGCACCAAGGGAAATATGGCACGGAACAGGGCGGCTCCCTCACAGGGCCCCAATGGAGTACAAGCTCTTGTGGACTCACAACAGGTAGAAGCCATGCCCTGATGGGGACCAGTTCAGAAACCCATTTTTCTCATTTTAGAGAAAAGTGAAGGGGCTCTTGGGTTGTTGGGAGGAGCAGAGTGCATTGTTTGGCTGTTTTTATTGTTGTTGTTGTTGCTGCGAATATGTAGCGTGGGTAGACGCCAGAGGATGACAGTCTTCCTCTCGCGGCCTTATTACTTATTTATTTATTTATTTATTTATTTATTTATTTATTTATTTATTTATTTATTTATATGGGCTCTCACTGAACATGGTTGCTCACTGACTGGCTACCATGACTGGCTGGCAGACCCTGTCTCTGCCCCCTTGGCACACAGGTGCACACCGCCAAGCCCAGGTTTTACTTGAGAGCTGGTGATCCAAACTCACTTGATACCCTGAGTGCCCTTCCTAGCCTTTGGCCCTTGCTTTCGGATGAGGATAACATGTCTCTCTTACCCATCTGCATGCCTCGGTTTCGTGGGCCTTTGTGAGATGCCACTTCTGGTTTTCCTTTGGGAAGATGAAGGGTGACTGCTCTTCCCTTCCTGTCCCCAACCCTCCCAAGGCTCTGTGGAAACTGTGCATCCAACAGGTTGGTCTGAAAGCCTGTGAGGCCAAGTACACTAAGCAGGGACAAAAGGACAAGCGCTATGAGGTGGTGCTTACAACGATACCTAGAATATGTCATTGCGCAGACAGAGGGAAAGTAGAGGCTTCCAGGGCTAGCAGGCTGGGAAAGGCAACTGTTTAGTATCAGCTTAAGTTTGGGGTGACAAACAGCTTCCAGAGATGGGTGGTGTGGCGATGGCTTCGGAACTGTGTCTCTGTCCTTCATACTGCCAGGCTATGCCCTTAAAAAAATGCTTAAGATGGGAAGTTTTATGTTGTATATGTTTTACCGCCCTAACAGTTTTTACTTTGAAAGAGAAAACTATAATGCCCAAAGAGGGTTTCCCCTCACTACCCATCCCTCTCAAATTCCTAGTCCCATTATTTCTGTCCGTCGCTTGTTGGTTTAATTTACTTGGGGAGGAGAAAGCTGTTCACCACAGAGTTACTAATTTATTGGAGATGATAATGCACCTGTGAGATAAAAATGATTATATGTTGAGGAATAACACTTATTGATAATTAAGTGTTTCATAGCTTCTTTGCTTCCCCAAACGGAATAAATAAATATTTTAGACATAATCAAGTTTGTTTTCTCTATTCAGGCCAAACAGGGATGTTGAAGAGATGTATATGCTGAAAATGCTGCCAGTGAGTCTTGACATCACTAAACTGTGATGTATCCAGGATGCAGAGGCTTCAATCCAGGCTATCGTCCGTTAGTCAGGGAAACCTTTTTTTTTAAAAAAAAAAAAAATAAGGATTAAGGGTTTTGCTTTTTTTTATTCTATGTGTTATTAGTGTTTTGGATTCCTGTGTGCAGTGCTGAGTCCAGAAAGAACATCAGGTTCCCAGGAACTGAGGTTACAGATGGTTGTGAGCCCTTGAATTGATGTGGATGCCTTGAGTTGAACCCAGATCCTCTGGAAGAACGACTAATACTCTTAACCACTGAGCCACCTCTTCAGCCCCAGCAGAATCATTTTTGTGATAAACACATTACAAGTCCAGTGGGGTTAGGGAAGAGGGGCTATCGAGGAACGTTCAGAGTCAGAAGCCAAATGTATGCCAAGAGCCCTCTGGCTCCCTTCCAGCCACGTGCATTTGAATCCCCATTTCTCAGCTGGTTGCCCTCTTCCTGTCTGCCTGGTGACCCAGCACAGGTCTGTAATAGTGACCTGGAACAGTGACTTCCATGGTGAACACAGATGCAGCTTGGGTGGAAGAGCTGCATCCCTGTGTCTGTTCTGTTGAGTATGAGTCGGCTGGGCCTCTAGAGGCCTCCACACCTCTGGCTGCCCTCCGCCTCCTGGAGTGTCACTGGCTTCGCCTTCTTTCCTAATTGCTTGCATAAGCTCTGCTCAGAGCCTTGTGTCCTGAGCACCGTGATTGGTGAGTCAGCAACCTGGCTGGAGGAAGTAGATGGTCCCTTTGTGGAGACAGCCGAAGTTAGGGAAGCCTGTTCCCACAGTATATGTGTGTCCTGTCGTCGCCGTGACAAACTATCCAAAGCTTAGTGGCTGAAAGCAGCATCCATCAAGTGTCTCGCTGTGCTATAGGTGGTGGCTGCACCCCCTCCCCAGTTGTATAGGTGACAGTCTGTTGACATATGGTGGTTGGTTGTGACCGTATCACTTGTCCCATACCTGCCTTTGCCCTCCCCTGGCCTTTTCTCTCTGTCGCTTTCCATCTCCCACCTCTTATGTGGACACCACCAGCTGTTCGACTAGGAACTCTCCTTCAACCTGGAATCCTTAATCGCGTTTGCAAAAGCACTTTTTTTCCCAGAGCTCGGGATGTAGGCATATATTTGGAGAATCACTCTCATTAGCAATGAGGTAACACAGCAAAAAACAAAACAAAACAAAACAAAAAAACCCTAGCTCATTTGAGTTGGAGGGTTACCTTCACAGACAAATGGGACCCACAGACTGGAAGCAAGGGACATGAGGTTAGGGGACTAAGGGCCAAGGAAAAGGTGACTTCCAAAGAGAAGGCATCAGAGAGCTCTGTAGGTTCTCTCCAGGAACACAGCTTGAGAGGTATGAGCCTTCATTTTAGATAACTCATGTGTGGTATCGGCTTCAGGCCTCGGGTTACTGAGGGCACTTTTACCCAGTGGTACCGAGAAAACTTCGCAGTTTGAGCCACCTCAGCAGACAATTGTGCCCTCTTTAGAGTGTGTCAGATACTTGCCTTGCGTGTGCCTCGCGTGTCTCTGGTGGCCTACGCTGTGTGTACTGTGTGGGAGCATCAATTCGGTATTTGGAACAGGGTAACAAATGGCACAACATGAAGATTGTGACTGTGTTTGTGTGGTCCTCCTGGTCCTCTGTTACTGGAGGCTGTTTGAGAGCAGGGAGCCACCTTCTTCTACTGAAGACTCTTTTAGAGTCTGCTGTGGGAACCGTGATGTAAAAGCCCTGTACATCGGCTCCATCTCCCTGGAAGGTGGTAGTAGAGGTGGTTTTATGAACTAGAAGGGACTTTGTGGCTGAGCCCCGAAACAGAAACTGCAAAGAGCTATGTCTGCCTCTTCCTCAAAGGACTATTAATAATCATCCTGGAAAACCAGCCAGTCAGATTTTGTCTTCCCATGCTTCACATTAGGCCCGTTCGCATCTTTGAGGAAAGGAGTGTCTTTGCTGTGAGGAAATGCCATAAACATTTAATGTAAACAACAGGCCTGTAAACAACAGGCCTCTTAACAGTTCTTGAAGCAAGAAGTCAGAGACACGGTGCCAGCGTGGTCGGCCCTGGGAAGGGCTCCTCTAACAGGCTTACAGAAAGACACGTTATTATAGCCTGACTGGGCAGGAGTGGGGGAACAAAAGCAACACACACACAGTCCACAGCAGAGCCCTGGGAGTCCAGATCTGGGGAGCCTGATATCTGCTGGCACTACCTTTGCTTCCAGGTACCAAGTGAACAGGTACCAAGGGCCAGAGAACAGGAACAGGTGTCTAGGTTATGCCCAGGCAAGACTATAACCAGGCCCCTGCCTCATCAGTGTCTCTCCATCGCTGCCCAGGTCCCCTTACACGTTAGCGCCAACACGACAGCTGTGCTCAGTGCAAGGTGGTAGACCCACCATGTGTGGGCCCACGTGGTACCCTGGTGCTTACTGAGTCGGGTCACAGATGGGGACCCATGCTGGAAACACTGTTGGGGGTGGAAAGAGAAGAAAGGAAGGGGCAGGAGAGTAGAGAGAGGCACGCAGGATGCTGAGCGGCAGTCGCCTGCCAAAATTCTTTAGTGCAGCTTGTCTAGTAAAGCCGGCCTCCAGCCGAGTAAATACAGTGGCTAGCTGACGGGCTGACAGCAGGCATCAGACAGTCTTAAACTGCCCCAAATCCACAGCGTGTTTGAAGCGGCAGTAGCAAAAGGATGCCCGCACAGAACAGAGGCCTGCAACTTTTAATAGTTCCTTCCAGGCCTCAGGATGTCCTGATGAGGTATTAGAGGAAGTCATTCAGGAAGAAAAGGACCAATAACCGCCTCCGCGTGGAGGCCGACCCGAGGGCTAGCCATCGAAGCTCACAGAAAGGACCAGCAAGGCCCCGCAGAGATCCAAGAGGCTCTCTGTAGCCCACAAGCCTGCCTCCGCACAGTGCCAGACCCTTGTAAATAGCAGACAAGTAAATTTCTTGTTTGCTTCGGGGCAAATGTAAGCCACACGGTGCCTGCTGCATGTGGGTGGAATCCCGACTCTCGCCTCACTGTTGGAAAGGGTGCTGGGTACCAATTGGATTCACTGCCTAGACCACAACATCCCCATCTCCCAGCCCATCTGGAGCCTTCCCCAACTGCAGGCCACCCTGCACGTCCTGCAGAAACCAAACTCACTCCACCTGTCTCTTTCTCCTTCCTTTAGGGTTTGGCTTTGTCACGTTTGAGAATGAAGATGTTGTGGAGAAAGTCTGTGAGATTCATTTCCATGAAATCAATAATAAAATGGTAAGTCTGGAGGGATGGCCCTGGAACCGGGAGTCCTGTCTCTGTGTCACATTCCTCTCTTGTGAGTGACAGCGGCATCAGTGTCGTGCATGCAGTGGACAGAGAGAGGCACAAGGGCTAGGCTGTCAGCCTTCAGCCCCGTTAATGGCAGCCAGTGGAAGAAACAATAGCCAATGAACTCTTACTGAAAGGCCAGTTGGAACTGTAGTGCCAGTACTTGCCTTCAGAAGGTTGAGGCAGGAGAACCGCCACAAGTTCAAAGCCAGTCTGGTCCATGGAGTGAACTCCAGGCCAGCCAAGAATATGTAGTGAAACCCTTTCTCAAAAAGCCAAAAATAGGCCAGGCATGATGATGGCGCACACCTTTAATCCCAGCACTTGGGAGGCAGAAGCGGACAGATCTCTGTGAGTTTAAGGTCAACTTGGTCTACGTGGTGAGTTCCAGGACAGCCAGGGCTATATAGAGAGACCTTGTCTCAAAAATGCAAACAAAAAGTCAGAACTAAGCTGTGGAGATAGCTCAGACCAGAGTACTTGTTTGCAAACCTGAGAACCCAAGTTTGATCTTCAGAAGTCCTGTAGAAATGCTGGGTATGGTAGTCACTCTTAGAATTCCAGCACTGGAGAAATGGGCACAGGCAGATCCCCAGGGCTGACTGACCAACTGGTCTACCCTAGTTGCTAAGTTCTGGGCCAGTGATAGACTCTTAAAGGCAGGGACAGGGGCCGCTTCTGAGGAAGAACACCGAGGTGGTGGTCATCTGGCTTGCGCTCCGGCACACAGTCACGCACATTACCATCTACACACACACCCAAGGCCAAAGTTAATTAATAAAACAAAACAAATCAAAAAAGGTATTTAGGCTACCCTACATAGCTGAGACTGTAGCTCAAAAAAAAAATAATAGAAAATTACCAGGTTTTGGAGCTGTTCATCTGACCGTGGAAACCACTCTGTTATAGTGACCATGGCTTCTACATACATGAATTTCGTGTCTGTGGATCATGGCACCCCCTTTCCTCCCCTCCAACACAGAACCCAGTATTCAGGGAAAGCGCTCTGCATTTTGCTGCATACTCAGCTCTCATATTTTAACCATTGAATAATATAAAAGAGCATTTTCAAATCTTGAACCTTATAAAAAGCAGGCAAAGACAAGGCATGCTGGATATACTCCGCAGACTGGAGCTTACAGCCCCCTGATTTCAACCGTGCTTTAAAAAAATTATTTATTTATTGTCCTCAAACTCAGAGATGCTCTACCCCTGCCTCCTGAGTGCTATGATTGAAGGTATATGTTGTCCTCCAGCCATGCTTTTGATGGAAGGCCCTGGAGGAGCCGATCTCAGATAAGGTTGGCCGAACTATTTCTCTTTCTGCCCTCATATCAGCTGCCTTCTTCCCTTTCCTCCTAGTGGAGGAAGCCTCAGGAGAAGGGGAGGTTTCACTCCTGGAATTCTATGGAGCCAGGGAGTCCGGCCCCAGAACTGGCCACCAGAGGGTGCCATGCCTTGTGTGGTGTCTGCCCGCTATTTCTCCCATCTCACACTCCTCACAGTTGACTGTGGGGTGACAAACCCTTTGTTGGTTCTGGAAAAAAATGCGAACTCACTCAGCAGGTGTTTCTGGATCCATCTGCAGGTCTCCAGAGCACAAACATTTTGGTTGGCCAGCAAAGCCTTCGACCCAGAGAGAAGAGGGTGGGTAGTCAAATGTGGGCTCCAACCGCAGCTGTGGCTTTGATATGTTCTCCCTTTTGTCAAAACATCCCCTGCTTCTGAAACATGCATTCAAATATGCACTGTATACTGGTCTGATATGTGTTCACCAACTTTAGATTCAATAATAGAGCTTTTAGTGTGGATAAGATCAAAGCAATCTGCTTAGCATGTGGTGCTACAGGCTTGATTCAATATTTGACTTGCTAATTTTTTCCCAGGGCACTAAAATAATATTGTTCATATTGTTCCTAGCCATCATATGCATCCGAAATGAAAATAGTCTTTCTTTGCATAGGGTATGTCGGAAGCATCTGCACAGGCATTAACATGGTGTGAGGGAGGCAGGCGTGGGAGCACAGCAAGGCTCCTTCTTGGGCTTGTCCTCCTGGTGTCATTGCCCTCCAGTTGACACCTCCCTCCCCACCTTAGGTCACTGTTGGTTGTTTCCTAAATGAGAGAGGTGGAAGGCCTATACCTGTGTGCAGATGCCTTGTTGAGCCTCTCCAGAGCTTGCTCCTCCGAGGGAGGTTGTTGGGCACCAGGAAGTGGAAGAAGCAGCAGAGGGTGCGGACGGGTGCCCTTCTTGCATTCCCAACAAACTGTTGGGAAGGGCGCAATAAAGGCAAGAGGTGAATCCCATGGTCACCATTGGCAGACTTTAAGTCTATGATACAGGATGGGAAAAGTTTTATCATCCTCTTGTCTTAGTGGGGAAACCGAGGCCCAGAATTGATCCCAGGGCTACCCAAGTGAAGGAGCATAGATTTTGAGCTTCCAGGGTGCTCAGTGAGCTGTGTAGACTCTTCTGTGAGCTTGGGTTGAGAGGGTAACCCCCAGATGACCAGAGTAGGGGGATAAAGACACATTGAATGAAAGAGAACCTGTGACTGCCTAGGAGCCGGAGATGCTGGCAACCATTTCCCCAGGCTTCTCCCACGGATCCGTGCCACTCTTCATGTAGGTGGCACTGGCTTGGTGGTGACTGTGGCTTTGGGATGCCTCTAGTATAAGATGCCTGGTTTCCTCTATCCTGGGCCTGTACTCGTCCTATAAGAAATAAGCAAACTCGGAAGTAGCCAGGGAAGGGAAGGCATGGGGACAGAGTAGTTCAGATTCCAGACTTTAGGGTGCGAGTGGGAGTTCTTAGCCTAGCCCTACCCAGAGGAGGAGTCAGAGGTTCTGGGGAGTGGGGGCAGAGGCAGGTCCCTGAGCCCCAGCAAACGGAGCTAAGCCTGTCACTTTCCGGAGCTGTTGAAGACTGGGTGTGCTATGGTAAATGAAGGGGTTCACACAGTGTTTGCCGCAGGGTGGAGGCCTCACTGTCATGAAGTCTCTTCCTTCAATGAAGAAAGGTAGAATATAAAGCAGGAAAAGGGAGCTGGTAGAGGAGCTTGTAGCCTGAGTTGCTTTTGGATTCACCAAGAAAGGAAAGCGTTTAAACCTTGCTGTGGACGGAATTTGAATGAGCCACCCAGAAAGACAGAGAATCGGGAAGACCTCTAAGCTGGGGCCATTGCTAAAGGGACAGGAGGGTTTGCTGTTCTGTGCTGTGAAGCTGGAAAGGACAACCCCACGTGACCCCTTAGCGTACCTGTGCACCCACTTTCTCACATTTCCAGGTAGATGAGTCTCAGCCATGATTTACAGAGGTAGGACTTGAATCCAGGACCTCTGGCTCAATGGCATGCAGCTGGCATTTGCCGGACTTAATTCGGAATAGGGAAAGGAGTCAGTAAGGAGCTGACCACCTGACTCAAAGGAGGCACACATAGTTCCCAGTGCCATTTCTCCTCTAATTTGGTTAGCGAATCTCATGAGCGCTTTAAAGGCTCTTCAGCGTCTTATAGCTATGGCAGGTGGAGGAGCCTGAGGAAGAGAGGGTCATAGAACAGCCTCCTACCTTGAGATTGCCTCCAGGGTGGGACAGAGGTTTGGACAGGAAGTCTCCAAACGGCACTTTCCGTTACAGACTGCAATAGCTACAATTATAGATTGTATACGTTTTGGTTTCTAGACACTCGCTCAGGGCGTCTTGCCTGATTTGATCACCACACCTTTTCTGGTATAAACAAAATCAAACCATTTCCCACATTTTACCGAAGGTCAAGGCAGAGACAGCAACTGCCCAAGACCACACAGCCAGCAAGCGGTAGTCCCAGAATTCAATACCAGGAAGCTGCACTCCTGAGCTTATGATCAAACCCATAAGACTCGCCTTCTACTCTAGACCAAAACAAGCTATCGTGATGGTCTTCAGCCTCCCGTGGCCACTGAGCCCCTTTCTCCCTCAGCCCCTGTACTTTCTTCATCTCCTACTTGAAGGCCAGATTCCCAGCCAGGGAAAATGACCAAGTTTGAGTTTAAGGGTTCTGCCCAGTCATCCATCCATCCAGGCCTCTTCCCTTGATCCTTGGGGCCTGGTAGAGAGCTGGTTGCCACTCAAGCTCAAGGTCCATCCTCCGAGAGCTGAGATTCAGCCCCCGCCAGAACAAACACACAATTGCAAGCACGGAGCAGCCTCATGATTCTCTCTGACCACTCTGCGGGTGCAGCTAATAACGCCTCCCATGGCGGCATGCCCCTGATTGAAGCAGCCCCGTAGCAGCAGGGACACCTGCTTGATTAGTCAGTCACCAGAGCTCAGCCTGCAAGCAGCCTCCTGATGTGCCAGGCAGCCACAGGGAAGGAGGTGAGAACTGACGTAGAGCCAGTTTCTGGGTTCCTCAGAGGCCTGGTGCAGCCCCCATCTCACAATGGTCTTGGAAAGACGCTGGTATTTCAATTGTGTAAGAATGGAGGATGCGATGTGGAAGGTACCAGGGTAGAGCCTTCTATACCTCATGCACAGGGAGTTGGTGTTTCCAAGCACCATGCTGGCACAGATAATGCCACTGCCAGTCCGCCGAGGGGCCCGCCAGAGCTCAGTGGGAAGGAGGGACTTGCATGATGGGATGTTCACAAGTAGAACTGAAATTTGTTTTGTCATTTTGTTTTAACCTTTGTGGGTTTTGAAAAAAAATTAGTTACCTATTTGTGTGTGTGTAGATGTGAGAATGCCATGATGCGTGTGTGGAGGTCAGAGACAGCTAGAAGGAATCAGTTCTCACCTTCAAGTGGAGCCCAGGGATCCAACTTACATTGCCAGACTTGGCGGCAATCACTCTTCCTCCTGAACAAGTGTCACAATAAGGAAGGGAGGAGGTTAGGGAAGAAAGACAGGCCTGGGGATTAGAGTTTAGTGTTCCTTTTTCCTGTAAGGCACTTACACAATCTGCCAA